AAAAAGAAAAAAATGTTATTTTTATTTATTTTTTTTTTACATATGACACTATAAGCAGCTTATTTAAACTGTACTTGTACAGGAATGATTGTCCCAAGCTTTTTCATCCATATACGTGGTTGATCACTATAACCATGATTATAAATGGTTTCCACTGTATATCATATATAGGGCAGTCACTCTTGATTATATTATACACTATTTATGTGCACACTCGCAGCAGACAGACTCGGGTGGTAGTGACGTGAACTTTTTCCAGTATCATTCAGCCCACACACACGGCCTTCACAAAATAAAGCTGTCAGATATTTTATTTTATATATTTGTTTATATAAAATGGCCACCATATATTATGAAGAATCCATAGATGCCTTCTTTTAAGATGCTGCATTGTAGTAGTGCTGTGTAACATTTAATCTGTGATGACTACATTTTCATTCACTTTTAATGTGGTGTGCTCCCACACAGAGACTTTCACTCTATTTGTACCCCCTTCCATCATGCGCCATCCATATCTTCCTTCCACCATACTGCTGAGTAATCGAGTAGACAATTTTATTGAAGTGAGTAATTGAGTTTAATCTAGTAATCCTGACAATTGCCTGCATTAGTCAGCTCAGAACACATTCAGTGACTTTCTGTACAGGACTAAAGATTTTTCAATGACAAAGAAAATTCTATTCAGGGGAATATTTGTTAAAAGAGCTCTCTAATCAGACAAATTGATTGTGATATGTTAACTATAAGATCATCAGTGAAGAAGTTTAAAACAAGTTACTGGGTTACACTCTTCCACCCAATAAATGCTCTTAGAAGAAAAAAGAAAAATAATTGTTTTAGACTACATGATGCTCATTTGAGTCTTGAGGTATGAGTCTGGTGATTGCTGCAGACATGCACAGACTGCATGACGCATAGCTCAAAGCCCTGCACCAGCGAGGCCTTGACACCCACTGCGCTTGTGGTTAACCCACTGGTTACTGTGGCAACCATTTACGCTGAGAACGGTGACATGCAAGTCAGGTAAAACACACACACACACACACACACACACACACACACACACACACACACACACACACACACACACACACACAACCATGCCTGATGTGCAGAATGTCAATGCAGCGGAAACAGAGCCCAGAGCAACAGCAATGTGGATCTGTACTACACCTGCCAGTCACCCACACCTCACAAGCACGACTCATAGGCACTTCTCATGCAAACTGACAGACACACCACCCAACCCAAGAGACATGGCAGCTATAGCTTCAAAAGCAGTCACAGGGAACCTGAAAACCTCACAGGTGGCCTGTTCTCCTGTCAAGCCACAACAACTAGTGAGACAAAGGTCTATGTGGACTTCAAAACAATGGAATTCAGAAAGACAGATCCACCATAAGCAATGGTTCCGAAAGGAGCAGTGGCTGGTGTCCCAAAAACACACAGCGTGTCGGGAGGGAAAACAGAAGGGCAAACTCCGAATCATGTGGTCAAAATTGTATGAATTTGTTAAGCAGATTAGTAGTACAGCTAAAATATTAAAAGAAGAGATCATTTGGATAAACAAGGTAAAAAGGCATTGGTTGCGTGGCGACTTTTTGAAGTTTAAAGTCAGACGTGTTAAACATAAGGATATGCCAAATTCATACTGATTACTAAATTTGGATGTCATAAAGTGCCTCATTAATATTTTAGTCATACTACTAATATGATTAAATTGTGGGCATAAAAAAAAATGTCCAAACAGTACTGAAAAGCTGGCATTTGGCCAAATGTTTCGCCTGTCATCTGAAGCCCTGGTGCACATGTGCGATTAGTGAAAACTGATATGATATTGCCCAGCACTACTGCACTGTCTGGATTTCACTAAAACACCAGGCAGGAAGGGTCGTGACTCCACTTGTCTCAGCTAGTTTTTGGTGTTTATTTCAGCAAATGTTTTTTTGGAAAAGCATCCACCCTGGTGGTTCCCGCTACCATACTGCCCTGCTGATCCACAGGTATGGGCTTCTAGATGGCAAATCCTTTAAGACACAGCATGGAATGGTATACATTTAATCTGCAAATGCTCGAAACCATGGACGGTAAAAATGCTGGCACTGCAGATCACCTGTTTGCCTGCTCTACTTATTTTGAATAGGTGGCAGTGACGGCGAGGCAGCCTGCAGCCCATATGGAAAAAACCTGAGACATTCAGCAGTGCGGCGATTTGCCTGGAGTAAACAAATGTTTATGATCATGGTATATAAATGAGCATCTACAGAAGCTAATGACTCACTGGTCTGAATGGGGCCAGCATCTGCTCTGCCATCCTAAATATTGTGCTAAATGCTAACTATGTAGCATCAGAAACCACAATCACGGCCAGGGAGCAGCAAGAATACCCCGCCTTGCCAGCTACACTGCAACACCACATCGACAACTTCCTCTGTGTACCTACGTAGCGCAGACTGGCCAGGCAGGCAGGGGAAGGTAGCACTAAGACCCTGCTGCAAAGTCTGTAACATCTCCCAGCACCACCTTCTCTAGAGCTAACTGGGGATTTGTGCCTGCCCTCCTTATTCAACACAGTGCTCAGACCCCAGAGTGATGCCCCACTGCCTCAACACTCAAACCTGCCAGCGATTAAGAAACACGAAGGAAGTAGAGTAATGTTGTGCAACATGGACAGCACAAGCTCTTGTCAGTGTCATCAGCTCAGAGCCACCATTGAATTGGAGGCCTTAATCTCAATCACATGGGCCATAAACCGACAAGCCATTGAGTGGATCTCTAAGTGAGGTCACAGGCGACCCCCACAGAGGGCCAGGCAATGGGGGATGGCCGTCCCCACCCCACCTTGCTCTCAACATAGCAAACCACTTTGTGAAAATGGGAGTACCCTTCACGAGGGACAAACTATTTTCACTGGATGCCCCCCCTTTTAAAAATGACTTACAAGGGTTCCCACCATGTTCAGGAAGCAGGAACGGGCAGTAGCATAGCTCAAAGAAAAAGAAACCAATCTTCCAGAAGTGGGGGTGGGGGTGATTTGGCACCCCCCCCTTTCCTGTGAGTGTCTAAAATGCTAAACTGCTTCACTGTAATGGAACTTGTGGAATTCCCCTCAGAAACAAGGGGGGGGCGCAGATAAGGGAACAGTGTCATTTCAAAAATAAAACGCAGTGTTTGGAGGTGGGGGGGGGGGGGACGACTAGCCCGTGGAGCATGTTCTGTTCAGGCGAGATGACAGACTGGATGTGGGTTACAGCATCATGGGTATGGTAGTACTTACGCATTGCAGTATGGCCTCTTCTCAAAGCCTTTGTAATTCTTCATATTTAAAGTCATCTTGCATACTTCACAGCTGAAGCATCCTTTGTGCCAGAACTAGAGCAGGACATGAAAAAGAGACGAGGTCCTGTTAGTATCATTTCCTGCTCCATACAGCCAAACTCCTCCTTACAGGGCCACACACACAATCACAGGTTTGCAATTATATAGCCCTAACCTTTTAACCATAAGTAACCAAACAAAATTATAAGTATTTCGGCATTTTTACTTTTTTGATTGCACTCACAGATCTTTGTGGAGAAATGAAAAATGGTCCCCACAACATAAAAATAACACTAGTTCCCCACAATATGATATAAACATAATCCACACACGCACACTGCTTTTTTTTTTATTTTTTAACTTCCCACAGTAATGAGTGGATTGTATTAATTGGGTT